ATGATTGATCTGCAAATTGTGAGCGATAACCAGCACTATCTGTAGTATTAACATGATTAAACAGTAATAATATAGTCATCCCTCGCAATAATGCTCTTCGTGATACCGCAGATTCGGTTAAACCGTGGGGTAATCCGTGGCTCCCATAAAAAAAGTTGTCCAGCGATCACACATCTTCACGTCATCAAAAATAGCACATCAGCAAATCCGCTGTTGAGCTCTGGTTAATCACGTTGTAAACTAGTGAAATTCAGTGCTGATTGCATTTAACAGTGTTTATCGTACATATCCATGGTTTTTCAGATGCTTAAAAACATGCAGGTTTTTTTTTCAATAATAATAGATGAACAGTGAAACATCGTAATAACTTTATCATAGAGACATGCCATCATCCGATTACTTACAACGTTTGCTGTGATGCAACACGCCGCGTAATTGCGCGGGTAAACACCGCCATCCGAGAATGTATGATGTCAGAAAACACATTATATTTGATTAAATTCACTCCCATTTTCATTCATTAAAACTGTTTAAAATAACAACGGAGAAACCATGAGTGAAATGGCATTACCTCATTCCATACAACGTCCGCTTACCACATTCGTGAGGGTCCGTTTTTCGCGCCTACCGCGATAGCACCACATTATTCTCAGCAATCACGAACAGATTACAGCCTTGTCATCCATTGACCCCAAGACCCGCGTTATTGACTCATTGAAGTCATATTTGACAATTAATTGCCAACATTTTGTTTTTACAATCAATGTGGCACGTACCGCGGGAAGTCAGCGGTGACTTGTCAAACTGTCTCCTACGTAAAATGTACCCAGCCAGGTAACCCAAAGTGCTTAGCAATGCTCTTTATTATGTTAAATATGTTCATAGAAAACATGCAATATACTTATACGATAGCAATGTATAAGATCTCTGTTAGAATAACTGCTTGACATATAAATTATTCTGATAATGGAATAGAAATTCTTTGATGTTATATTTTCGGATCGTTTTTAACTGAATCACCGGTACATTGGACCAAAACATCGGTCTGTGCACAGCTGATTGCTATTTCCGGCTTAGTTGAATAACAGGTAGCATGACAGGAACAACAATTGAATTATCATGTCTTGTGATGTTTGATTGCAAGTTTCATGTACATACATCTATTTTCATTTACAAAGTTTGTTTTTTTCACCTCCAACAATACGATATAGTTTTGACTCGGCACAATACACGAAATAGCAGTTTTGTTGTGTCCATGGAAAATACGATTTTACTTGGCCTTTGTTCCGAGTTATGTAATCGTTACTATAACGCGGGTGTCTAATAACGCAGGGGGTCATCCATGGACCCCAAGACCTGCGTTATGGCGAGGGATGACTATCTCAATACATTATGTTGCAATGAAAATACTGAGAACTAATTTTGATGCAACAATCTTTTCAATAAGAGATATGGAATAGCATACAAAAAAGAACAAGAGTCACCAGAAGATGATAACCCCCCACCCTGAAAGCTATAGTAGGCATCAATCTTGATGAGAGTATTCCTGTCTAACCTGTTTGTCTGTATACGACAAGTTACTAAGCTATCACAAAACTATCATGGAATTAGGATACAGCGCTATGTATTTGCATGTCAAGTTCTGTTTTGAAAAGTCACGCACTCATTGAAATTCTGTCAAGAATTAAAAACACAAGTTTGCAATATTGTTGTGTGTGCTAACTAACGAAAACCAGTACTTTGGGGGATAAAGTCAGAGCCCTGCAAATCATGTTGAAGCCATGGAAACATAAAAAAATTAAAATGATAAACATCTGTAAATAGCTAAAGGCACCAGTTGACAACCTGGTCTTTGACTTTGTGTGTCCAAGGACATGAAAGAATAGCTGATAGTTTCAGAAATATGACGCAGACAAACAGAGCCAAACAACACCATCGCAAGCTGTTGAAAACATAACATAATTAGTGAATGTCTCACAAGATATTGTGAACCAAACACCACTAGTCAGAACCAGTCCAGGAACCACATACTGATCAAATGATAACATGAAAATTGGTCATTGGCACTGTTTCCCATCACATGAATTCATGGTGACGGATTGTAATATTTTATGCTTTCTACAAAACGTATAGAAAGTATAGCTGTTCTAGGGTTGAATATTAGTGTACTTATAAGATAAGTATTATTGCCACCAGGATTATAACAAGGACTCTTTGACTTGTATGTTTAACTTTATTCATGTCAATGGAACAAGTTGTGAAGTGTTCATTAGTCAATTATTTCAGACATTGAAAAAAAACCAAAACGTGCTATTTTCATGCTCTGCAAAAATGTTTTCAAACATTCAAAACAACCATCAGTTTACATCCGATCTAATTCTCCAGGGAATTCAGCAAATGGCACATTGCAATCACTACACTACATATCTGACACTATTCAACAGAACCAGAAAGATCTGGATAAATCTGCTTATGACAAGTTTTGAGATAAAAATGTGTTACACTTTCCAGACCTAGTTAGTGATATTAAAACATAATAGCACAGGATTTACATAGGTGTCCACAGATGTTAACATTCAAACCAAGCTATCAAAGCTGAAAATTGTAATGTTACAAATCAATGAATTTTAGAAAATATGAAGTTGGCAGAGGTTGGCACAATAAATATAAGAACTAATTGGTCCACAATTCATTTGAAATACAGTGTTTCTGTAACAATAACATTACATTTTCAGAACTCTGAAAGAAAACTGCAAGTCATAACTCTTTGCAAGACTTTGTGCTGTTGTTTCCAGCATTCAATGGTATGTGTTGCTTGCAGGGGAATAATATGGTTTGTTGATATGTTAATTAATCCTGGAACCCTGTTAGCCTCATATTTTCAACATCATTCTTAAGCAAAATATCCTTGATGCTCTGCATCAGAAACCTCCATTGTGAAATCAACTCATTATCAATGCTGTCAGCTTTCTTTTCCAACAATTCTAGTACATTTTTCCAGTTTTACTTTCATGCAACAATTATGTTCTTATCTATGTCTTTCAAGAAATATTAAACCATAACACACCCATACAGCACATAACCGTTTAGAATTTCAGAAGACGTCCAAGTGGTAAAACATAACAGTATTAACACGAGCCCATCACAACTATGCTCAGGACCTCCAAGGGCTGCCTGATAGGGCCCAACTTTAACACCCTTTGTTCCACACAGAAATCTCTCCATGCACTGGCACTGTGTTGTCTGTCTAAACTTATCCATGTACAATGAAGAGCCAGTGTGACTAATATACCAGTCTTCATCTCTTCATTGTATGGCCTTATAAACTGATGTCCTCTGGTCAACGTCCTTTCTCACAAACAGCTCCTGTGTTATGGATTCATCTTCAATGTAGCATAACTTCAAATCCACGATTCAAGCACATCGGTTTTCTTTTATTTACTCTCCATAACAAATGTTGTCCAGTTTCCCACCACTTATATTTATTATGTTCACAATGTAGCACCTTGAGTATACCTTAGGGCATTTAACAGCACTTGTTTATCATCTTTGTCAGCCATCAAGCCATCATGTACCCTATATATATGTTGCTGTATCCATTCACAGCCTCATGCTTGAAAACAGTATAAGTATCTATACCGAAATGTCGCCACTGTACAACAAAGAAGTTGATCATCCATAAAGACTTGTCATTCCTAACACTTTTAACAGCATTCCAATTGTATCAATAGATGTAGCTAGGCTTAGCGTGAGAGGAAAGATAAAAATGATGCTAGTTTCAGACATTTACCACTTCTATAAAACCCGAGCATACAGACAGGTCTGGTACTGATAAACCTAGAAATATATACTATGGGAGAACCAGGATTCAAACATAAGTCAAAGGTTTCCGGCATGCCACACAGCTCAGCACATTGTGGCACCTGACTGGGATAACCAAATTTAACAACTACACCATATATTGTGTTATACGCCACTGATCCCGCTGGAAAGTTCAATCTTACTACAAGCAATTATCTAAAATGCTTCCTGAACATATTTTAACCTTTTGGACAGTAAGTGCTGACATATGTCCACATTGTTGTATGATCTGTTGGTATTTGGTTATGGAACAAGTTGTTCATGGTGTTATGTGAATGTATCTAAACTGATCAAGAGTTTTATACAACATCAAAGAGATCATGACACTTGTTAGAACAGGTCTGATAAAAGCTTACTGTATTCAACTTAGCATCTGAATGCACATGGAAATGTTATTTCCATTAATTGTATGTAAGCATGACACTATCTTGATAGGCAAGATAGAGAACTGGTCACTTTGAACAATGTAAGTGATTTGACACAAGCAGAAAGAATACCTTTTAACATTTGTATAATAAAGTTTGAACTATTACCTAACCTGGACCCATGCATCAGTGTAATACTGACCATGCAGGTCAACAACATGTATGTTACCATCTGGTGCCTGGTGTTTCTTCAGAAAGATTTCCGCCTGTATCCCCCATTTTTTATCATTCTATGCCTAAGAATCGATAGAAATAATCATAATAAATAGAATATTTTCCAAGCAGGGATTATGGGCGGAACTCTTACAGTTTCTTCAACCAAATCAGATGATAAATTTCGAAATGGGTTAGTGTTTATCACATATTAGTCCAGCATATAACTAGACGACTTTGCACTGTACCAAGGTATGTAGGCCTTGGCTGGAATACAAGTTTATTCATATGGACTAATCACACATAGGAGTTTTGTCAAGGATTTACAGCTTACAACTGTACAATCACAATGACAGGTATATTTTTTTACTCACGTTTAGCCAAGGCTTAGATGTTCCTCTGAAATTATTACCTGGGCCCACCTGGGTCTACTTTCATTGTGCATATAATGCATAGTGCATATCGCTATGTGCATATTCAGCTGATATATGATTATGACACTTACAAATATAAACATTGTGTTTGCGGCAACTCAAAGATATTTCCTATCCTAATACTCACCTTCCAACCTTTGTATCTTCGCTTTTACAGACATAATTGTCTCGAAAGGTGAAACGCGAAGTTCAAAGGCTGTGCCTGTTAGTGTTTCAATGAACAGCTCCATCACAAGAGGTCCTCGCTTTTTCGAGGCCTTCTTTTTTCCGACGGATCTCCGCTGTTATAGATCTTCGTCTTCGATGACAGTCATTTTCCTTCGTTCATTCCCAAACCCGTCGGGGTCAGAAAACCAAAACAAAGAGCACACCCACCTAGTTTTAACCTAAGTTACCGCCATTTCGTCTTCAAATTCATTGTGAATAGTGTCCTTATGTCCACATCTGATGTCTTTGAGGATTATAAATAAATCCAGGTCAAAAAACAAACTTATATACTACGCTGACTATAAACCTCCGAATAAAAACATGGAGGGACACAGGAATTCGAGGACATTAGCAGTGCCCGTATGTTGTAGTCACTGACAACAATTTGTCGCGGAAAGTTTTGGATCTGATAAGAAACGAAATGGGAGTGTTGGCAAGTAAAATCCAGACGCAAGCAATCCTGTGTGGATCATATCGGTTCAACCTGCTTCAGTGAGAGGACAGTAATAAAATGAAACACTGTAATGTTAAAATGCCACGTTAGTAGTCAAGTTTCAACCTTTATTACATATTTGACGGATATGGATGAATATAGGAATATATACATGTATATGAGCATATAGGTAATGTTGAGAAGGTGTTTCGTACAAGATTATAGGCTAATGGTTTAGGTACCACTGACTTTAGGTATTGCTTTCAATTTATTTTGTATCCAGTTAAAGTTTGCCACAGTCAATAAATAATACAATTTTGACAAAGAAATCGCCACGTTAAAATCCCTCCCTTGTCAAACAAGCCATAGACCATATGGTCGCTGATACACAATGACACACATTTTGTTATTTCGTGTCTGACAGATTTATAACAGAATCCGGTCCCGTATCTGTTGTGAACAAATGGGATACAACACACAACACTCTACCACCACCAGAACCCCTACCTCCATCATCCCAACCACAGGTCACCATCCTCCAGAATCCGCAAATCATTATGACGATTTTATACAGATATACTTTGCTTTATAAATAACCAGAATTGTGTCACGTTTGCATTTTCTAGCCGACATCGTGAATATTTGTCTCATTTTTATACAGTGAGTGAGTTTAGTTTTACGTCGCTTTTAGCAATATTCCAGCAATACCATGGCGGGGGACAACAGAAGTGAGCTTCACACTTTCTACAGCTTTCAGTGAAGTGGAGCCAAACTTCGCCGACTACCTGATTACGGGTCCAAGGATTTCGTCTTCTTATTGCCTGCATCGAGCCGCTCTTTTCTGGCTTTTAAAAAAATCTCTGTATTTTACTTCTACCTGCTCTTGATGTCACATTTAGTGTCCAACCATCATGTACAAACCGCTGAAGCCTCCAATATCACATAAATAGCGAAATTATAGTTCCATTGAATGACCTGATTCAAGATTCCTAAGACTATCAGCTGGTCCAAGCCTTATCTGTCTCATGTTATCTTATTATATGTATGTGTATAATACGCGCCCGTTAATATGCACGGGCAATTTGACACGTGCAGCATCTTTGTAAATGTATGTACGTGATAATATATATGTATCATTATGTGTTTTTATTTTTGCGTGTGAACCTATGTGCGTGTGTGTATGCATGCTTATCATATGAACGATATTTGCTGAATTCGGTTTTCTCTAAAAACCGTGTTACCTTTATCAGGAGAGGCGTAACAAACCTGAAATCACACTTATATATATCAAAAGTATGATTTTTAAAATTTACTGTAAAGTATTGTTTATTATAAGGTCTGAGGATGTCCTCGCTTATCTTGAGGTCACTGTTTAGGCTCTCTCAATTGAAGAATCCAATTTCAGACAGGAATCTGGTATTTGTAATAAACCAGCGTGCAATTTCTTGTGACGTCAACACTAATCGCATGACGTTTACCACAAAAACAAGCACCTTGCGAGGTACATGTGAGTGTTGCTATATTTTGTGGAGAATGTTTTAGTTTCTTCACCAGAAAATGTAAACGATTTGTGTGATAGAATAACTTTATTTTCAACTAAAATACCTCTATGCCATTTTTTCAAATAACATTGTTTTCTGCTGTCAAACTTGGGTGAGAATGTATGCTTGATTATTCGAAGGGGGATAACTCTTATTTGTTTTCATTCGTTTTCTGTGTTTTTTTCAGCCGTTCACACATATTCATGCATATGTTTGAAACAGGTCGGAGGAAATAAAACAGTGTGCGTTATCTTATCCATCATATCAATAGTCAACATAAATTCATTCGAATATCCTATGCGGCTTTTGAGGAAATTGTTTATGAACAGGTTTTGAAAACTTACCTCTTAGTGTAAATACAAGATTCTTTTCTCCAGCTATGACATAGCGCTCATGTATCTGAGCACTATGTATCTTAGCTACATTTTCTCACGCCCACTAACTTGGCCAAGATCTTTCCTGAAAAGAGCACCTTCGACATTCTATCATTTTTCTTTACTTTGTATAGATTCATCTGTATACATTACCAGATAAGTGCGTTTTTTACTCAATGTACCGTTTTACAATTCAATTAGCCGGAATTATCCTAACACCCTGACCATAAATTCAACCTCTCTCCTAATATTATTTGTAGGGGTCAAAGATCTAGGAAGTGAAAGGCAAACAAGGCCATTGAAGCATGACTGAATTAAGAGCTGTGTGCCAGTTAGATTACACAACTTACAGATATTATCATTGATTTGCTTCAGTAGGTTTGTCACCTCTAGTTTTGGACTGCCTTTAGTTGTATATTAGTGATGTAATTTGGGTGATCTTCACAGATTGTTTTAGTCAGCTCAATCCTATAGTCTAATGTTATGTTTAAAATCAGATCAAAGTTCGAGATCACAGTTTTCAAACGGTTTTCATGAGACTGTATTACTGAATATTTAGTTTCTGTTTTATAGAGTTAAAGTAACCTAAACAAGTTTTTACTGACTTTGTTAATATGTATTTGGGAATATATTAATGCGTTCATGTGAGTACGTACAGTTTTTGTATGTCTGTTTCTTCTTAAAATTGTTTGTTACGTTTTACACTGTATAAATTTTAAAATCATCTGTTTAAATAATTTATATATATTTTCACAAACAGCATATTTTTTCACTTTATTCATGTATATTCAGTATTTTACATGCAATAATAGGGCTGGCTAAAACATTCATAAACGGAAATGTTATCATTCGTAAGAATTATTAACTGTTAGGCTATTATTGATGTAAATTATACTCTTTGATAATATCTTACCGGTACCTAAACCTTTGTGATGAAATTGATTTTTGATTTACGCACACAATACAAAAAATTACATCTATATTCAGGTGGTCACTTTGAAATTATGTTCAGAACTCTGTGTTCATGATCCATACATCACCACACACCAGTGACATGAAATATGTTCATTTCTTTTAGAGTGTTTTGCACTTTTGATCAAAGTTAATTATCCAGTATTTTTTGTTTAATATTTCATTTATGATTATTGATCTCTATAATCTATATCAATACCAGCCCTTCACAACTCAACTCAAATCAAATTCATCCCATTTCCTAGAACATTGATCATAGTCACTGTATATCATGAGGTTCTTGAGAGGCATATAGAAGTTGGTATTCAAGTATAAGACAAAATATTATGGATGTCAACTTCTTGTTTATTCTATATACACAACGTTTCTGGGCTTTTCCTTGCCTCACCTGACGAAGGGGCAAGGAAAAGCCTAGAAATGTTGTACTTGTATATAGAATAAACAAGACGGTGACATCCATAATATTTTGTCTTATACTGTATATCATGTATAAATGTGTCTGATGGAATTCATTTAGGAACATATGCCAGGTTTTCTCTTGAAATCTTCCTTACCCTTGAATGCCAGCTTGAACTAAAAACACTGACTGTCGTTTTCTTTGACACATTGAGAGTGTGAATGAATAAGAGTACAAATTACTCATTGTCCCTCTTTTGAACATTTCAACACATCATTTCCATTATGATTTTGTTCTTTTGGCCAGTGACCTTGGGATCATTTACTTTTTGTTCTGTACTTTACAACAAAGTTGATATTGATAATTCTTTTTTCCAAAAAAGATCCTATAGAAAATGCTAGAGTAAGCTGTTTTATTACAATGAGCAACTGCCTCTACGTACAGGTAACAATGGGCCTGATTGTCTACCCACAGATCACCAAGGAGTGTGGGGGATGCAGGCAGCTCTTCTGGGCAACATGTTGTGACAGCAGCACCCAGAGCTAGCAGGTAAGGCATTCCGGGAAGTCTCGAGCGGCAGCCCCAACCTATCACTGGTGGTATGTTATCCACTATCCCTGCCAATCAATCTTTGGTTATGTTATCAACTGTCCCCACTGAACTATCAGTAACATGAATACTAACTGTCTTCACTGATCAGTTGTTGGTTGTATTGTCAGCTGTCCCCATTGATCAATTGTTGGTTGTATTGTCAACTGTCCCCACTGATCAGTTGTTGGTTGTATTGTCAACTGTCCCCACTGATCAGTTGTTGGTTGTATTGTCAACTGTCCCCACTGATCAGTTGTTGGTTGTATTGTCAACTGTCCCCACCTGATCAGTTGTTGGTTGTATTGTCAACTGTCCCCACTGATCAATTGTTGGTTGTATTGTCAACTGTCCCCACTGATCAATTGTTGGTTGTATTGTCAACTGTCTCCACTGATCAGTTGTTGGTTACATTGTCAACTGTCCCCACTGATCAATTGTTGGTTACATTGTCAATCTGTCTCCACTGATCAATTGTTGGTTACTGATCGTCGGTTGTTGGTTGTATTGTCACTGTCCCCACTGATCAATTGTTGGTTGTATTGTCAACTGTCCCCACTGGTCAATTGTTGGTTGTATTGTCAACTGTTCTCCACTGATCAATTGTTGGTTGTATTGTCAACTGTCTCCACTGATCAGTTGTTGGGTATTGTCAACTGTCTCCACTTGTCAGTTGTTGGTTAATTGTCAACTGTCCCCACTGATCAATTGTTGGTTACATTGTCAACTGTCTCCACTGATCAATTGTTGGTTACATTGTCAACTGTCCCACTGATCAATTGTTGGTTACATTGTCAACTGTCCCCATTGATGGTTGTTGGTTGTCAACTGTCCCCACTGATCAATTGTTGGTTACATTGTCAACTGTCCCCACTGATCAATTGTTGGTTGTATTGTCAACTGTCCCCACTGATCAATTGTTGGATGTATTGTCAACTGTCCCCACTGATCACTGTCAACTGTCCCCACTGATCACTTGTTGGTTGTATTGTCAACTGTCCCCACTGATCAGTTGTTGGTGACATTGTCAACTGTCCCCACTGATCAATTGTTGGTTGTATTGTCAACTGTCTCCACTGATCACTTGTTGGTTTCATTGTCAACTGTCCCCACTGATCACTTGTTGGTTGTATTGTCAACTGTCCCCTCTGATCAATTGTTGGTTGTATTGTCAACTGTCCCCACTGATCACTTGTTGGTTGTATTGTCAACTGTCTCAACTGATCAGTTGTTGGTTGTATTGTCAACTGTCCCCACTGATCAATTGTTGGTTACATTGTCAACTGTCCCCACTGATCAATTGTTGGTTGTATTGTCAACTGTCCCCACTGGTCAATTGTTGGTTGTATTGTCAACTGTCTCCACTGATCAATTGTTGGTTACATTGTCAACTGTCTCCACTGATCAATTGTTGGTTACATTGTCAACTGTCCCCACTGATCAATTGTTGGTTACATTGTCAACTGTCCCCACTGATCAATTGTTGGTTGTATTGTCAACTGTCTCCCACTGATCAATTGTTGGATGTATTGTCAACTGTCCCCACTGATCACTTGTTGGTTGTATTGTCACTTGTTGGTTGTCAACTGTCCCCACTGATCACTTGTTGGTTTTCATTGTCAACTGTCCCCACTGATCAATTGTTGGTTGTATTGTCAACTGTCCCCACTGATCACTTGTTGGTTTCATTGTCAACTGTCCCCACTGATCAATTGTTGGTTACATTGTCAACTGTCCCCACTGATCAATTGTTGGTTGTATTGTCAACTGTCCCCACTGATCAATTGTTGGTTGTATTGTCAACTGTCCCCACTGATCACTTGTTGGTTGTATTGTCAACTGTCTCAACTGATCAGTTGTTGGTTGTATTGTCAACTGTCCCCACTGATCAATTGTTGGTTACATTGTCAACTGTCCCCACTGATCAATTGTTGGTTGTATTGTCAACTGTCTCCACTGATCAATTGTTGGTTGTATTGTCAACTGTCTCCACTGATCAATTGTTGGTTGTATTGTCAACTGTCCCCACTGATCAATTGCCTCCACTGATCAATTGTTGGTTACATTGTCAACTGTCCCCACTGATCACTTGTTGGTTGTATTGTCAACTGTCTCAACTGATCAGTTGTTGGTTGTATTGTCAACTGTCCCCACTGATCAATTGTTGGTTACATTGTCAACTGCCCCCACTGATCAATTGTTGGTTGTATTGTCAACTGTCCCCACTGATCAATTGCCTCCACTGATCAATTGTTGGTTACATTGTCAACTGTCCCCACTCATCAATCATTGGTTATATTGTCAACTGTCCCCATGGATCAATCATTAGATTATCAGTTGTCATATGTCCCATCTGATCAATAATTGGTTATATAATACAACTGATCAATCATTAGATTATCAGTTAAGTTTTCGTATGTCCCATCTGATCAATAATTGGTTATATAATACAACCGATCAATCATTAGATTATCAGTTAAGTTATCATATGTCCCATCTGATAAATAATTGGTTATATAATACAACCGATCAATCATTAGATTATCAGTTAAGTTTTCGAATCCCATCTGATCAATAATTGGTTACATAATACAACTGATCAATCATTATATGACTATTTACCAAAATTAAGCAATCATTGCTATGTGATGGACAACCTTTACAAATAAATCATTTGTTATGTTTTCAACTGTTTCAATGCAATCAATCAACTGTTATTTTATCCATATCAATCATTGATTGTCAACAATCTCAACTAATCAAACTCACTAGTTAGGTTTTTGACTACACCCAACAAATGAATTGTTTGATTGGAATATATGAGAAATGGATATATGACAAACTTGATAAATGTTTCTTTAAAGAAAATAACCTTGTGTCTGCTTTGAATGTGCAACAATTGTTAGTTACTGTACATAAGTAATCATTTCAGTCCAACATTGGTTTTAAACTATCTTTCCCAAGTGATCAGTAAACAATTATTTAAATACACATATTTTTTTCTGTTTTACAGTTATTGGCTATATGGTCCCCTGTTTATACTGATGTCCATATTTGTATGTAATTTGTTATATAATCATTTGTCCCAAGTCTCCATGTTTGGAATGGTTGTGTTTTGCCATATCCAACTTGTTAAGATGCTCAGTTTGTGATCCATTCATTTCAAATTCTGAAGCTGTTTTTGACTGCATGAATATTATCAAAACGAGCTGCTGATCGGCTACTTCTAACGGATCCTTGTCATACCGTAATTAATCGGACATGATAGACTGTTATTGATTGGAGTTTTAAGCTACAGTGCACACTCTTTTAATACTGAGTTATGAAGTTTTATTAGGCCACATTGTTTATTTTCTATTACATATGAATTAGTATTTAAGATCTTTTAAGAAAGGATAAATAGAATGTGATATGTATTTCTATATAAATATCCATTTATGCAAAGAGAAGCGTTTTCAATTAGTATTCAGAACTGAGTGTAGAAACTAGAGCAGCTCATAGCCCCGGGGCAGGCAATGAGTCCAGCCTTGTCCCACACAGGTTTCTTCCTTCCTGTCACCATGTTCCTGCCTGTTGTGTCAATGTAAGTAGACAGCTTCACACATACTCCAAATGTTTACAGAATTTGGTTCAACAAATATTACATAAACTTCGGTCTTTATCTGTCATTTAAACATGTTGATGGTGCCCTGCATTGAGCTGGTTCGTTATTTTGATTCAGCGTTTGCAATTACCTGAAGTCCAGGATCCTGAAATAGTAATGGACGGATTAGTGGCATTTCCTGGAGAACTGTCACTTTTACCATTGTAGCATTGCAGCTGATAATTTTTTCAGACTTGAAAGAAATTGATTTCAAACAAGGCCGATTGTACACTTAAATGACAATAAGCTTTATGTTTGATAGGCATTCTTGTAGTTCTTGCAGCTATCTTTGATGAAAACATGTTTATATGCACTGGAAATATGTTTTATGTTACTTTTTTAAGAGCACCTGTGAAAGACAGAATTTTCTTTTTTTAATTATTATTATAGGATATTTATATAGCGCACATATATCCACGCAACTAGTACATGCTCAAGGCACTGATATTTTTCCCCCTTGATCACTGGATGTCAGTCTCAATGGCACATCATATTATTAATCTCAACTCCCCGGGGAGCATACAACTCTTGCAGCCACTAGGTGCACCGAGTTATTGCGGCTTTCTCATCCTTATGAGGTACCCATTCTCAGCTGGTTGGACTGGGACACATAGTCACAGTACTTTGTCCAAGTTTTACAGCACGTTGCTATACCCGCAACTGGGTGTTTGCATGTATTCATGTGGCCACCATCTGGTCATATACCAACGGATTCGTGGGTTCTTTTAAGTGCCCAGGGTTGTGTACTGTACACTAGGGGTTGTGACAACACAGAAAGAGTCTGCACACAAAGTTGACTCCAACGTTTTCACAAATACACAGCAATAAAATGGAGATGTTACAAGTCGAACCCAGCAACTGATGCTTGTTGTGTATCAGTCACTGGTCTGTCTGATCTAGGCCTGATTATCATGATTATGTTCACGCTGTAAACGTATGAACGGAATACATTGCTCGGGCAGCATTGAAAACACGTACAACTATCTCTCATATGTCTAGCTGAGATTGCCATCAGTACACACAGTATTTATTCATTTCTGAAGATGTCTGTGACTTTTGATTGTGCCTAAGAATCACAGAAATGCTAACACAGCCATATGTTCAAAATTTTCTATTTTTCTCTGAAAATATTAATCTGTATATTTCCCTGTGAACAATACACTAATATTTGTAGTGTGTCAGCATTAGTATCCAGATTCCTCAAATCATCCCATCAAAGAAAGTATACAACAGAAAGGGCTAATCTTCCTGTAATAGGAAATATTATGTGGAAACAGAAGCTGTATCGCTAACATATACGCATAAGAGCTGTTCAGAG